TCCGATGAGTGTGGACAATTGCTGCGAATGCACCTTATTTCGGGAGCATGCCCCCACAGCGCGCAGGCGACGGAAAGCCTGGCCGCGCGCGCGCTGAGACCAGGCACCTGAGCAATGTCGATTAATCGCCGCTTGGAATCCTGCTGCACTAGGAGGTTAACGTGTTTAACAAAGGTACCCAGACAGCACGCTCTCAAAGCCAAGACTTAGTGTTCGAAATCCCCAAGGGCAGCTGAGACGGCCACAACGTCGTACCCAGATAGCTGCACGCGAAGGGAGCCTCCAAGAGACCCAAAAAGAACCAGAGTGAAAAGCGACTTGCGGGCGGGGCTTTGCAAGGACGACCAAAACGCCACATAGCCGAGTCACTATATGAAGCTTCCCAATACATAGCCACCTCACCCGCGCCTTCCCAGACGCGCCGCCACAGACGTAGCGCACTAAGTGAGCCAAGTGGGAGAGGAAGCAGCGAAAGACCTGGTAGCGCAAGCTGGCTCTTGGCGTCGGAGACAGTACCTTGACCCACCCGTCGGAGTAGCCCAGACGCTAGAACAGACCCCAAGTCTGATCTGAAACCATAACTTACTCAACTGCCGAAACCACCTGAGCATTTCTGCGCGCCTGCCCATGGCGCAGAGCATGCCGCGCGAGATCCACGACTGTCGAGGCAGCCTGCCTCGCGCAGTTTGCCTGCAAGGAATTGCGAACGGAAGCGCGCGATGCAAAAAGCCACCAACTTCTTGACAGCGATCGCTCACGTGCGCGGAAAAGTCTGGCTGGGGCGCGCGCCGGCAAACGCGCTGCGTGGAACGCTCCCTCTAGCTCTTGGATCGTCGAGAGCAGCCACATCGCACTTGGCGAGCGGGCAGCTGCTGACGCGGTTAATGCCATCTCCTGCTACAGGGAAACGGAGGCAAGCAAGCACGGGCTCGCGGCGCCATTAAAAAAAAAAAAACAACGACAAGAAATCCAAACATATATATATATATACATATGAAAACAAAAAACAACAACAACAACAACAACAACAACAACAACAACAACAACAACAACAACAACAACAACAACAACAACAACAACAACAGCAGCAGCAACAACAACAACAACAACAACAACAACAACAACAACAACAACAACAACAACAACAAGAACAAGAACAACAACAACAACAACAACAACAACAACAGCAACAACAACAACAACCACAACAACAACAGCAACAACAACAACAATAACAACAATAACAACAACAACAACAACAAACAAAAAAACGCTTGTTCCATAAATTCAGCACGAAGGACCTCAAAACCTCCGGGGCAAAAACTACCGTCGACATGGCGACTCTTGGTGATTAACATGCCCTGCAAGGGAAAAACCAAGTAACGCCCGAAGTGGGCGATGGAAGCACCGTAGCGGGAGCCCAGAGTTGCCGATCCAGCAACACGTCGTGGAATTGGCAGCCCGTTAATTCAGCTTCCTCAGCTTGGCGTCCTCCAATGGCCTCCGAAGTCCCAGACCCCACTCGCCCATTGGCGCCAACGGGGGGAATCCCGGGGACGGCGGCGTCGAAGAGCTGGCGAAGCCTCTGGCGTAAGCCTGGCCACCATGCCTGGATGGCCTCATGCCCTGCAGCACTGCGAGGATCATGTCCCGCCAGAATGTTGGTTCGAAACAGACCGCACTTGATGGAGTCGAGCAATGCTCTGGGGTGGTGCAAATAATACTTGGCAGTGTTTGCCAGTGATACGTTGGGAGGCGTCGACCGCGACAGCAACATCGACCCAGAGCGCGCACCCACGCCGTTCATGCTCATCACCCGCGGCACGCAGGACAAAGCAACCCCCGACCCGGGAGACACGATTACGTGGATAACGCGTTTCCACCGCGCTCGCCAGCAATATCTTATGCTTCGAGAACTGGTGGCCTTAATAGGCCATGCGACCAACCATAAATAACCGTGACGTCTTCCTAGCGCGCTGCGCACGGGGGTCTAGCTGCAAGGACGTCGGCGGCGACGACGTCGAGGGTTTTGGACACTCGTGGCTTATCCTCCGGCGGCAGGCCCCCGCTCCTAGAACCGATAGAACCAGCAGACGTCTTCGTCGGAGGAGCCAGGCGCGCCAGACGGAGGAGCGATGGAAGAGATTCAGGGAGAGCACGTCCATGACTGGGCGGGAACTGCGCGCGATACTCGATAGGCATACTACCCAGCCATGCCCAGCCGTGTTTGTCGAGATGCGCTTCCACCGCCCTCCGGGCGCTTGGATGCAATCTGAACTGACGTAGGCCAGCAGGTGCAGGCGTTCAAACAGCGTCGGCCAACTCATTCCGCGGGCGCGCCTGGTGGCCTCCGACGCGAGCGGTCTTGAACCTCCATGTGCGGGCACGCACGAGACGGCAGATCCCATCCAGAAGTCTCTGTTGTAGAGGAAGCGAACCGCGAACAGCTCCTCCGCCCAGGACAGAGAGGACCTCCATGCTACCCCCGTAGAAGCAGACATCCCAAGAATGCAAGACCCCCCCTTCTGCATAAGCCAGGCTGCCGCGAACTGCTCCGATTGGAAGGAATGGAACTCCAGGGCCACGTCGGTCGGATCGAACGCACGCGCACGGAAGCCAACCAAGGCAAAAACCGAGGCGACGTCTTCGGCGCTAACCACGCAAGCCCAACTAGGATGCTCCTCGGGAGCGTGGAAAGCCTCGCCCGGGAGAAAAACCGGACCAGACAGGTTCGCAGAAACTCCACCAGATCCATCAACGAATACGCGCACACGAGACCAGTCACCGATGTCAGAGAGGAGTCGGAGTCCTGGCAAAGCCTGAACAGTAGAAGAATCAAATAAATCTCCTCAGTCATAAAGGTTGGCGCCCATAGTAGCGCCCCAATCCCTGGCGAGAAGCTCCAGGACCTCGAGGGCATCCAGGAGTTCATAAAGATTGCGGGCCGCTCGCTCCGCAGCGCGCCTTGCCGCTCGGGCCTCCTCTGCTGGAGGAGGCGCCCGTGCTGGTCCGCATGCACATGGCCGAGAAAGCAAAGCGGACGCTGACCAGGCACCTGCGGCATCTCCTTCCAGCTCTGATGGTGCTGCTGCTGCGGTTGCTACTGCGGCTGCTGCTGCGGCTGAGCTGCCTGGGCTGGACTCAGGGCGGCAATGGCAGCTATGTCGTTGTCTCCCAAATGCGAAGGGCCATCCTCATCCGTTCCCGCTGGCACCATCGAGGCTGGAGGTGCCGCAGCCGCTGCCTGGATGGCCGCCTGCGTCAGAGCACCAGGGGTGGCGCCGCTGCTCCAGGGTGCTGGGGCGGTGGCTGTTGATGTAGCTGATGAGCCCCTGCTGGCTTGTGTACATGCGGATGCTGATGGAGCCGAGCCGCTGAGAACCACCTGCAGCTGACCAGGCTGGGCAGCGAACATGGCCAAGTGCGAGGTCAAAGCCGCCTATCCGTTTGAAGATGCGTAATGACTTGTAGCAACGTAGCTGGTGACTGAATGCTCGAGCCCGCGCGCACGTGCGGTGGGGAATAAGCCGCCTGTGCCTTGACCCCGGATGTGGGCTGTTGACCTGAAGGCATGAAGGGAGATGGCTGGTGACTCTCTCCAAACAACGGTGAACTGGAGCTTTGATCGACTTCCATGAATGGGCTCATCCGCCGATGTGGCTATGACTCGCTGTTGGAGGCGGCCTCTGCGTCGGCTGCTGCTTGTGCTGCCTGTGCTGCGATATGATCCTCCTCCTGCTGCTGACCTGTTTTGAAGTGCCCCAGTAGGTCCAGGGCAACATCCAAGTGGTGCTGCAGCTCGTGCTTCGTTTGGGTAGCAGCCGCAAAAACTGCTCCGTCCTGAGACTCGGCCGCCTCTGCGTCGCTGACCTTTTTCTCTTGGCACGATCGACGTAGCGCTGGTGATTGCTCGTCCTGTCCCTGTGGAGGTAAGCGTTGACGAGAATGATAAGAAACACTAGGTTTTCGTCCTCTAATTCGAAGATCCGACCCTTGTCGGCGGCTGTAATCTTGGTTCTCTTGATCTAGCTCTCCAAGGCCACCAGATTGGTAAGGAGCTGAGTGCAGAACGCTGGAAGGTCCTTCTGCTCGGCGGGCAAGTCGACCCAAGCCTCGTGCGTCGTGGCTCTTTCCTGGGAAGCAAGAGGGATGCCCAGCGCGAAACCATCCCGGGCCTATCCTTGGCCATGCCGGCTGGCATGCTGCTGCTGTTGCTGCTGCGGTTGCTGTCGTCCACCTCGAGACTCCTGGGACTTGTTGCGCCGTCGTCGACCTTCTGGCTGCTGCGAGCGATCCCGAGTACGTCGACGTCGGTTCATGTTCTCCTGCGGTGGGAAGCACCATGCACACATCTTGGCAGAACGCCGGTTGCAGGTGCCACAAACCGCGCACTGCCGCTGCGAAAGGGAAGACGACTGAGAGCTGCCCTCTGCACCTCCGCCTGAGGACCAAGGCGGAGCCACGCCGTCCGATTTCACAATGCTTTCGGATGAGCGGTGGTGCGCAGAGACAAGATTGCGAGCAGAAACGACCCGAACCAGGACTCTGGCTTGGGCACGCCGTGATCGTAGACGTTTATGCCACGCGGGCGAGCGGTCCCTGGCTCTCTGCGGGCGAGACGTGCTGCTAGGTCGCGCGGGCGTTGCTATGGCAGCCGCGCGGCGCGATGGGTGCGATCCTTGGGGGGGGGGGGGGGGGGCGCTCCCTGGGAGCGCACCCCAGGCCCCTTGACCTCGACAGGAAGCAGAGAGGAGGGAGGAGGGCGGAGGAACGAGGAGGGACGGGAGACGAGCGAAGAAGGAGAGGGCAGCAGGAGGCGGAGGAGCAGGAGCAGCAGCAGCAGCAAGAGCATCAGCAAGACGCGGTGGAGAAAGCAGGAATTTGCACAAGGGAAGGCACGACAAGGCAAGACAATACCCATCACGAAGCGAATAGTGGGGCGCAAGGAAAGGCAAGGGAGTGCTGGAGGGAAGCTGGACGGGGGCAGCAGCAGCTACAGCTCCTCCACGCTTTCGGTGTCCAGGGCGTCCGAATCCAGCAGCAGAATGAAACTCAAGCGGTGGGCCTCGGCCACCTCCTGGCGCGCGGACAGACCACTCTTTCGGCGAAGAAGGAAGCAAAAACGAATGGTGATGACGAGAATGGCGATGATGATGTTGACGACCATAATTATGGATATGAAGACGAGGGTGCAAATGATGATGACGAGGAAATGAGGATGAAGATGACTGTGAAGATAAAGATGAAGACAGAGATGATGATGAAAATGGAGATGGCTATAAATATGGAAATGGAGATTAGGACAGAGATGGTGATAGTGATGGAGATGAAGATGGAGATGGAGATGATGGTGAGAATGATAATACACATTAAACTTGGAACGAAAATGGAAGCAACTATGACTATTGAGATGACGACGAAGATGAAGATGAAGATGAAGACGAATATCAAGATGAAGATGAAGATGAAGATGAAGATGAAGATGCAGATGAAGATGAAGATGAATATGAAGACGAAGCTCCAGATGAAGAAGAGGAAGATGAAGATGATGATCATGATGAAGATGGAAATGAAAATGCAGAGGAAGATGAAGATGAAGACAAAGACGAAGACGAAGACGCAGCGCGCCGTGCCCCCTCCCCCCCAGCGCTGTTCTTCTGAAACTGAAACGAAACGAGCACAGAAAAGCTGAGTTGGGAAGTCGACCTCAAGAACCCGAGAAGAACCCGAGAAAATTACATATTACGTGCAAGTGCCACGAGGCTTGGCTGTCGCGGGCGAATTCGGGATTCCATCGACTCGGCCAAACTTGATGGCGCCCCCCATTTCACAGCGTCTGTGCAGGAGGAGGGTGAGGCACAGCATCAGCACGAGAGGCTAAACGCTCACAGAGCAAGGCCAGGAGTAGACTCGCTTTCCCAGAACATTCAATTCCTCCTCGGATACCCTGTCTCCCCCCTGGCATGAGCACCCCTTGGAGCTCTCTGTTCCTACGGCTAGTTTCTCACCCTGGGCGTTCTTGTTGACAGCCCTGGGGCCTTGGACCAGTCTCGACGTCCACCACTTGTTCGATGGCGATGCGCTTCGGACTCGAAGTCCTACACTGAGCCAGGACGGATTGCGGTATTCACACGCACGCACCGCGCAGCGCGCGAGCAGGGCATCTAGAATCAAGATCACGAAGGGGAGCAAGCAAATAGCCCAGAGACCAAAAACGGAGAAAATCACGTCCAGATCGATTGAGCCCCAAACAGTCTGGGACCACGGTCCGCGCGTGCTCTCCCCGCTGCGCACTAAAGAACCTACAGGCGGAGGAGAAACACTCGCTGCAGGGGAGGGGGAGGGGGCGATTCACTGCGCTCGCCTCTCATCGGCGCGCCAGATTCCGCCCGAGACGGGGTGCCGTGGGCCGTGCCGTGGGCCGTGCCGTGGACCGTGCCGTAGGCTGTATGTGCTGCGTCGTGTGCCGTGCAGCGCGCCGTTAATTCCCCGTGGCTCGAAGGGCACAGGCTCAAGGTGCGCGCTCAAGGCTGCGTAATCGACGTGGCGATCCCGATCCACAACAAGCATCGGGCCACTCTGGAGCAGCGTGCCGCCCGAAGAGCCAGCGCGTGGGCAGCCCGCACAGCCTGGGGGGGCCAGGGTCAGCACCTTGGCCATCTCCGTCTGGCCCTACAGGTGGTGGCCCGCACGTCCGCCCCTCGGACACCAGAGGTCTGGGATGCGCTGGCGACCGCTGCGCGGCAAGCAGCGCAGGCGGCGAGGCCGGCGATCTCGCTGGAGTGTCCAGCAGGGCCTGCGTGGAGCAGAAGCCGCTGACCACACTGCAATCGGCGGGCCCTTCGCGACACGCCGGAGGTGGAGAGCACAGCCCGGCAAAAGCGGCCGAGCAGCGATCGAAAGAGGCGAGCTGCCCCCGTACCGCAGAAGCAGAAGCGCCGGTTCAAAAAGCACTGGCTTTTGTTCAAAGTTGTGGCATATCGGAAGCATCCTTAGGAGGCGTTTGGGCCAATATGGCTACAAGATGGCCTCGACGAGCCCAAGATGGCCTCCAAGACTGCTCGAGATACCCCAAGATGGGTCAAGATGCCCACCAGCATGCCTCGTGGAAGCTCAGAGACCGCTCCAACACGGCTCCAAGTGGCCACGGAGCTCCCCAAGGAGGCCCCCAAGCAATTCCCTCCTTAACTGGAGGAAACTATTATTTTGACATCTCGCCGTTTTGCTTCCGATGGAATTCCGAGGCGTCAAATCTGCTCCATGGCCCAAAATATGGGCTGGTTTCGCTGCCACTGGTTTCGCCAGCGGCTGTTTTCGCAAGGGCTGGCTTCGCCGCTGACTGGTTTTGCCGGCGGCTGGTTTCGCCAAAGCTGGCTTCGCCGGCGGCTGGTTTCGCCGACGGCTGCTTTCGCCAACGGCTGGTTTCGCCGGGGCGCTGGTCGCCGTCGTCGTCGTCGTCGTCGTCGTCGTCGTCGTCGTCGTCGTCGTCGTCGTCGTCGTCGTCGTCGTCGTCGTCGTCGTCGTCGTCGTCGTCGTTGCCATCGTCGTCGCCGTCGCCGCCGCCGTCGTCGTCGTCGTCGGGCGAGACCTTGCCGGGCGGAACCCTAACGGGCGGGTCGGGCGGGCGGGAACCTGCGGGTGGGCATTCACAAGCGAATCGGGCGGGCGAAACCATATCGGGCAGGCCGGGCGGACGAAAACCCAACGGCTGGGTCGGGGGGGGGCGGGACCCTAACGGGCGGGACATTAAAGCGGGCGCACTTGCCAGCACGCGAACGGGCGGGACCCCAACGGGCGGGTGGGGCGGGCGGGCCCTAACGGGCGGGTCGGGCGGGCGGGCGGGCTGTCACCACGCGAACGGGCGGGACCCTGACGGTCAGTTCGGGCGGGCTGGACTATAACAAACGGTCGGGCGGGCGGGACCCAAAAGGGCGGGTCAGGCGGCCGGGACACTAAAGCTGGTGGGGAAGCTTGCCAGCACGCGAGCATATTGTACCCAAACCTGCGTGTAGGGCGGGCGTGGACCCTAATGGGCGGGCGGGTCGGGTGGGCGGGGCCTTAACGAGCGGGTCTGGCAGGCGGGGCCCTAACGGGCAGGCCGGGCGGGGGGGACATTAAAACAAGCGGGCGGGCTTGCCAGCGTTTGAACGGGCGGCACCCTAACGGGCGGGTCGGGCGGGCGAGACGGGACCATCGGGTGGGCCGTACCCTAACGGGCGGGTCGGGCGGGCGGGACACCAAAGCAGGCGGAGGGGCTTGCCAGCACGCGAACGGGCGGGATCCTGTCGGGCGGGTCGGGCGGGCGAGAACCTAACGGGACGGTCGGGCTGGGCGGGCGGGACCCTACCAAGCGGGTCGGGCGGGCGGGGCCCTAACGGGCGGGTCGGGCGGGCGGGACATTCAAGTGGGCGCACTTGCCACCACGCGAACTGGCGGGACTCTAACGTGTGGGTCGGGCGGGCAGGGTACTAAATGGCGGATCTGGCGGGAGGGACTTGAAAGCGAGCGGGCGGGCTTGCCAGCGCGTACACGGGCGCGACCCTAACGGGACAGTCGGGCGGGCCGGCCCTCAACGGGACAGTCGGGCGGGCGGGACCCTAACGGGCGGAACGGGCGGGTCGTGCGGGCGGGACACTGAAGCGGGCGGGGGAGCTTGCCAGCACACGATCGTGCTGGACCCGAAGAACGACGACGACGACGACGACGACGACGACGACGACGACGACGACGACGACGGCGGCGGCGACGGCGGCGGCAACGACGACGACTACAACGACGACGACGACGACGACGACGACGACGACGACGACGACGACGACGACGACGACAACGGCGGCGGCGGCGGCGACGGCGACGGCGATGGCGACGGCGACGGCGACGGCAACGGCGACGGCGACGGCGACGGCGACGGCAACGGCGACGGCAACGACGACAGCGACGACAACGGCGACGGCGACGACGACGACAACAAAGATGACGACAACGACGACGACGACAACGACGACGACGACGACTACGGACGACGACGACGGACGACGGACGACGACGACGACGACGACGACCACGACGACGACGACGACGACGACGACGACGACAAAGACGACGACGACGACGATGACAACGACGACGACGACGACGACGACGACGACGACGACGACGACGACGACGACGACACATACCACCACGGCGACGACGACGACGATGACGACGGCAAGCGCCACGGCGACGACGACGACGACCGACGACAGACGACCGACGACCGACGACCGACGACCCTCCTACCGACCGACCGACCGACGGGCCGTCCGACGACCGAAGACGGCGACGACCGACAGACCGACAGACCGACGACCGACGACCGACGACCGATGACGCTGGAAACGACGACGACGACCACGGCGAATGATCACAGCGACGACGAACGACGACGCACCACGACGAACGACGACGGCTGCGACAGACGGGTCGGCAAAACCAGCGGGCGGGTCGGCGAAACCAGCTGGGCGAAAACAGCGTCGGCGAAACCAACCGTCGGCGAAACCAGCCGTCCGCGAATTCAGCCAGGCGGAACCAGCGGGCGGGTCGGCGAAACCAGACGGGCGAAACCAGCGTCGGCGAAACCAGCCGTCGGCGAAACCAGCCAAACCAGCCGGGCGAAACCAGTCGTAGGCGAAACCAGCCGTCGCCTGGCCCAAGAGGGCCCCAAGGAAGGCCCGAGAGGGCCCCAAGACGACCCCAAGAGAGCCCAAAAGCGCCCCAAGAGGGTCCCAAGAAACGACTTAGGGGGCTCAAGAGGCTCATCACCAATTAAGGCACCCGTCTTGTTTTAGCGACGTCCTCCAAGATGGCCCCAAGAGGGCCCGAAAGACCTCCACTAGCTGAAAAGCAGCAGGATGCCTCACTCCTGGCTGCTTGGAACATGATAAACAAGTCAGGCGCGCCGCCGCCTAGACGGACCACCAAGACCACCACCAACCAGGGACCCAACGGGGGGCGGAGGGGCGGAGGGGGCAGGGTCGTCGCGTGCTCGCCGACATTTGGTCCGCCGCGTACACCCCGAAGCCGCCTCGTCGCAGG